AGAATGCGTACAACTTTTTTATTTTTTAATAAATAACTTTTGTAAATGTATGTAGTAAGAAAAATAAAATGATCTTTATTATTTGTGTTGAAAACAATGATAGTAGAAATTGTACCTCTAGCGATAGAGTCAAAATAATTTTCTCTTTTTTAATTCTGTGTAATCATTCTCAATATGCGTTCATCTTAGAGATTAATTTTCTTTTAAGTCTTAGAAAACCGCAAAAGTTCTATCATGGATTGAAGGAACCCAAATTAACAAACTGATTAAAATTTAATACACTGAATATGAATCGCGAATAAAACAATGTAAATAAACATTCAAATCAACATTCAATTAAACATTATGTCAAAACTCATTAAAAAATTTATTCTGATAAGAAAAGTTTAAATAGTTGGGATTCAAAAACTATGGTCTAGATGTYTACAACGCATATAACAATCTTTTTGTAAACTTATAAAGTACAAAAGTCTCTAAAGATACTTAAAAAGTACAACCTAAATGTAAAATCCGTAATACAAAAATTAAGCAAATTTTTTTCTGGTGTTAAGGTTGTCTTTAAATATAATTAATATTTTATTATATTGTTAATATGTGTGGGAGTTTAACATTTTACTATACTTATCTCGGAAAATATTTAGAACTTAAAAAAAACACAAATTTTCACTTAACAAATAATGACTATATTCAGGTAATTAACCGTTCTGATTTAGACAGGACATGTCTAGATTTTTATTGTCTTAGGCTGTTTTTCGTTTATGTCCTGATTGATTCCGATTTAAGTTTTAAGGACAAACAGACCTAAATGTACCGTTTTTCAAATTTTCATTTGCAAAACAAAGTGTCTTTTAAATTAAAAAGAGTTTTCTTGTATGTTAATTAAATGTAATTTCAAATGTGGTCATTCCGTTTGGCCCCTTGAAAAAACRTAACTGAAACACTTGAAAATCACTTATAATGACCAAATTAAATATAATTTGTTTTGCATAAATTACAAAAAATGTCCAGACAATTAAGGGATTCTTAAAGCAATAAAGAAAAAAATACAAATTACTTAACACAAAACAATAAAGTTAATTTTTACAGTTTTTTGGACCTAAAAATAGTTCTTTGTCTTTTTGCATTCTATATTCTTATAATATTTAAATTTTTATAAGGTAAATTGWTAAGACCTATTTAATTTTTTATTTTCTGTTCTAAAAGAAAATTGTTATGATAATTTTTATTAATATCCTGATTTTGAACTTTCCAATATTTGGTCACTTTATTATAAATATTCCGGTGAAAAACGAGAGCGAACTCTTGAAAATTTGCTAAGTTCACTCTTATCCATGAGTCTTCAAGATGATTTTATTCATTTATGTGTTAATTCATTTGGCAACGTTGCTGGAGGCAAGTCCTACCGCTGAGTTTAGCGATTTTATATACACCGGAGTCGAAAATGAATTGTGTGTGTATGGAGTTCAAAGAGTGTTGTTCTTATAATTTTTTTTGTATAAATTTAGACAGGAATTTCTTTACCCCTCTGAGTGTGCCTCTATTAATTTCGATAAGATAAAGCTATATACATCAACTATATTCATCTCAGTCCAGTATTTCGGGTGGAGCCGTGGACGTCTGTTTGATGGGTGGAGGCAGAGACGATACAAATGCATATATTCTTAATATAAAATATATATTATATTCTTAATATAAAAAGACCATAAAGGCATTGCTAATTCAAAATTTTTTTTGGTGTTGTTAACTGCTCTAAACGTATTTATACGCGGTAACTGTTCAATGCGTTCTTAGAAACCCATGGGGCGGATTCGCATTTTTTTCATAACAAAATGTTCAAAAGTTGTGTACTCCGATATTAGGACGGAAAAATGAGTGATGACTTCTTACAAGCAAAATTATTTTATTGCTTATACAATTTTTTAAGTTTGCTTCTTATTGTTACATGAGAAATGTCTTTTTGCATCAACAATACAACACATATTTTTTACTAATCATTAGCTAAGGTAAACTTTTGGGAAAACGGTGACAAAGTATTATTCTGTTTAAGAAATTGATAATTTTGATTATTAATTTTTGTGAAAACAATTAGGAGAATTTAAAAACCTTATAGGGAGCAATAAGGTTTCTGTACTGTTAAAATATTGCAATGAATAAAACCAATTATCTTTACTCTAAATTTTGCAAATACAGAGCTGAAAAGTTTTCTAAGAATTTGTGAATTTAGCAGTAAACTGCTCAAGACGTATTTATACGCAATAAGATTTAACCGCTCTAAACGTATATATACGCACCTACCAAAATATGTGCGCACACAGCAAAGGATTATAAAATTAATTCAGCAGTTTAAGGGTTAAAACACGCTGCAGCGTGGGTAATTTGGCCTTTATAGCACGCTGAAATTTTAAAGTTGTCTAGGTAACAAGAAATAGTGAAATGTCTGGACCAATTACAACGTAAAAAAATGTACTTAACGTAAACTAGTAACCGTCTCTACGAAAATGATTCACAAACAACCTTTGATAATTTTATTGTGAATTCACATTTTTTCAATGCTCATAAAAAATCGTAAATGGGCAGGTATAATAAAAAATAGCATATAACACTCGTTTACACACTTACGACGTTAAAAGCTGACGCGTGGTGCTCTTAAACCCGTCGTGCGTGTTTTAAACGCTTGCTTATAAACTAGTACTCGTATTATAATATACTATTATTCAATTTTGACAGTTTAAAGGGACTTTATTAACTCTATAACAACCATCATAAAGGCAAGATTCACTAGTGAAATTTTATGGATTTTATTCACAAGTGAATTTAAAAAAAAGTTTTTTTTCATACGAATGTATTGATTTGGCTGGCACTGCTTCATTCAAAGCAGCCAATGCTTTAGGTAGAACTGCCGGGGGTACAAAAACTTCTTTTTTGTCTTGATCTTCTACGATTCCAGCCATTTTTCGCACAAGTGTCACAAGTTTGGAAAAATGTAATAAATTTGTTTTCACAAAAATGTTATACGCAGTCTACATGATTGTTCTAGATTGATTAGTGTTGATTGTTCAAAATAAAAATATATACAAGTCGCCCCGGCTGATAACACCTAAACTTACTTCTTTTTTTCAAAAAGTAAATATTTAAGTAATAATATTCATTCTTGTCTTTTAGCACATCCGGTTTTGCCGGAAATGCTACCAAATTTAGTTTTTCAAATGGAACACCTATGTTTTTTCCTCGAAACAATAATAATTGACATAAAAAATACGGTAAACCATTATTTATTACATTTTGCGTAACACCATGGAATCAGAAATCATCTTAAATCTTAGAATTTTAAAAGGAAATTGGTCGCGCAGCCTGATTTTTAATTGTAAAAGAAAGGTGTGAATAAAAAAAATGCTTGGATACCAGTTTAATTGTTGGTTCGACAAATCTAATTTGTCAGTTGATGAGCGAGTTCTTTTATGGAAACTCTTGAATTTTCTTCCACTGATAACAGAACATTCAGATCTCTATTTTCTTGTTCTTCACTAAGAACCACAGGTTTTTTTTACTTTTACGAAGCGAACCTGTTCGTCTCAGTTGTTTTTCAATTCGACTAAATTTCCAACGATTTTGATGAACTTTATTTGAGTATTTTTCTCTATACTGTCTTTCAGCTTACGCTCTATTTCTATTGCACTTAAAAAACACTTCAAGCTGATCTACCAATTCGTCGTAATTAATATCATCCATTATTAAAGATCTCAATAAGATTTATTGACAAATTAAGCTTTGTCAAACTAACAATTAGACGGTATCCAAAGCATATTGCTTTTTGCATGCAAAATTTGCTAATACAATTCTAAAATTTAAATTGTTTTCTGAGTGCATTATGTAAAGTAAAATGTAATAAATAGTGGTTTACCGTATTTTTCATGCCAATTATTATTGTTTCGAACAAAAAAAAACGTAGGTGTTGAAAAACTAAATTTGGTAGCATTTTCGGCTACACCGGATGTGCCAAAAAAATTTGATGCATTTACCAAGAAGGCCAGGAATGAATAGTATTATTTGAAAATTTTGTTTTTGAAAAAAAAGTAAGTTTAGGTGTTATCGGCCGAGGCGACTTGGACCAAACAGCCTGTATGTGCGACGTGAATTAAACATTGTAATTCTCTCAAAGATATGATCTCAACATCTTCTCGTGAATAAACATGTTTAATTCACTTGCTGTATAATATTTAAAAAAGTCACGAATCAATGAAAACTATAAATTTATTTCAGTCAACAGAAATTGTCAAACTTTGACATAGAAAATTTAAAGTTTACTTTGTTTGAATCGTTCTTTGAACATTGCTATTTTTTATTATTTAAAAAAAATGCATAATACTAAATTAAATGTTAGAAATGACGACCTCAAGTTAGGTAATATTTTACATTTGTAGCTTTTTATTTTTGTATTTTGCATTCTAATTGCCCTTGCATTTTCTTCTTTGAAAGTAACAAGATTACTTGTGTGGTTTAACGGAACATAAATTTCGAAATAAAACGTAAGAATAGTTAACTGTTTGAGAAAACACAGATTTATTATTGCGTCCTATTTTACTCACGGAGATTTGTGGATAATAAATAAATATATTCGAATTTGGTCTGAAAAAATTAATATCTTGCAAAATCCTAATAATATAACTTATATAATATTCAAATATAATGGGTTTAATGAACTAGGAAGTGGTGCATTTTTTGTTAGTTTTGCATTGTACTTCAAGGGTAGAAGCATTTATAATAACCCTGTAGAAGACCATAATACTCTAGTACATACTGACAATTATTGTAAAATTTATAAGCACTATTTATGTGTTTTGATAGTAAAAGTTCGGATGGATAAACACTATTACATTTTGTTAAGGCGATATCCAAAACGTACTTCTTAAAAATTAATGTTAAATATTTTTCAAACTTTTTGTTCTCCTAACATTAACGAAAGTGAGAGGTTATTTGCATTTAATATAATTTTGTTGTAGCTTGTGACTGCCATCCTATTGGATCATCTGGTAGAACTTGCAACCAAGCCACAGGACAATGTCCATGTAAAGATGGTGTGGTAGGGACTACCTGCAATAGGTGTGCAAAAGGTTTCCAACAAAGCCGATCCCATATTGCACCATGCATAAGTAAGTTGATACTACCACTATAATGTTTTAAACTTTTATGATTATGATTTTATGATTGTAAAATATTTCATTAAAAGTTTCATAGGACATTTGAGCTATTTATATAAAGTATGGAACCAAGCGGTTTTTTTAAATCATTTGCCTCTAAAAAATAATAATTAATACTCCTATAAATTAAAGTAATGTAAAAAATGTAATTGTATTTTGAGAACGAAATTTTGTTTTTGTGTTACGCGATTTTTTTGTCAAAATTGCAATTTATGTAAAAGGTTTGGTTGAAAAAATTAAATAGAAAGTAGATACCAAGTTGTAATTCTTTAATCATAACCTTCATGAGAAAAATGACTTTATAGTCTTTTGCCATTAAAAAATTTTTTTTTTGTGGAATTCAAAAAAAAAGGAAATTTTGAAAAATTTTATTCGTGATAAAACATCTCATTTTTATTGTACTTTATCTTTTTATTGTACTTTATATCAATTAGTTTTTTTTTTTTTTGAAAAATAAATACTTCAAGAAAAAAACCTTTGGTTCTATACTTTTTATTCACCTGGTATAAAATATAGTCCAGTCAACAGTTATGTTGTAGAATGTATGATGGTCAGGAACAGAATTTTTAAATTTAGGGTTTGTTAAGAGGTAAGCAAAGTAAAGTCTCCGGTCTTCCGAGGTGAGTGTGGCTCAGCTCACCAAGAAGATGCCGTTTAATCATTTTTTCTTATATTCCGAAAACAGTACGTATTACAAAGAATTAGTTATGTAAAAATTAAAGTTTGTACATTTTTCTACAAGTGGGTTTTTCGGGTTTTTGTATATCAAACAGTCAAACAAATACCACACTCAATTTTTGTCTCACTTTGCTCCATAGTACCTAAATCCTAAGTTTATAGCAAAAATAAAGGAATGTGCCAGCCATCAAATTTGAGTTTTTGTATCTTTATTTTCTTTATGAACATAAGTTATAAAGTTTTGATATTTTGAAACAAAACTGCTTAATACATTGGCTAGGTAGGTATGTAATAGCTATTAAGATAACTAGAGTTTTATAGACAGTTTAAAAATCGAGAATTTAATAGACTGTGATTTTTAAACTATAAAACTCGTGTTATCTTCAAGATTTTTTGCAACATTAATATTGAATAAAAAAAATTACTAAATTTAGAAATCATTATAAAGAAGTTTGTCAAAATTGACAAAAAATACGCATCAGCGTATTTTATAGACTCATAAGGTACGTTGCTATTGACGACGTACTTTATAGATGAAGTGTATTTTAACGGCAACATAAGAGGTAATCTTAAATGCACCATGGAAACGGTATAAGGTATTAATGTTGCAAAAAGGTTATATCGTTGTACTCGTATACATGCTATTCTCTGTGAATTCTTGTAACACTGTGAGACTAGGGGAGAATTACCTAATTTAATTATTTTTCTTTTTTTTTTCAGAAATTCCTATCGTCCAAATAATGGCTACCGAAGAAGAAGACAACGATTATGGAGACGAAGATTCAGATCAACCTGCTGTCGGAGGTTAGTGATTTTTTTTTAGATTTTTAAGAAGACAACTCCCAGTGTAAAAAAATCGAATATAAGGTGATAAAGTAAACCATGTGCTATGGATAAATGTGCTTATAAATCATAATTCATACTGTTTACTTTTAGTGTTGTGCAGTTGTTACTTTAAATTAAAACATCTTTGAAACGGTTTATTTTAATGGTATATACAAATCAAAATTGGGGTATTTCATTTGAAAAAATTGAGTTATGGATATTTAAATTATCATAAAAGTAACCTTAAAATTTTTTGGTTTATTCTTCATATTTTGGCACTATTTGTCAAATAATAAGTCACTGTCGACATTTATTGAGAAACAATTTTGACATTTTTGATTTCCATAGCAAACTATGTGAAAACGGGTGTGGCTAGTAATAAATTTTCTGTAGTCTTAAAAAAACGTCCATAACTTGAAAATTATTAAATTTAGGTATAGGGAATGTTAATACAGATCAATGCACAATTAAATTCTCTTCTATTTAGTAAAATAAAAATTGTGGTATTTCATTTGAAAAAATTGAGTTATGAGTACTTGAATTATTACAAACGTAACCTTAAAATTTTGGGATGTTATTTTTTATTCAAAATTTGATAACACCAGAAAAAGGATCTAAGCTTTCTATTTCAAACGCCAAAAAAACGAATTCAAAATCTTAAAAAAATGGCAGAGTTACCGATTTTTAAAGTGGAAGGTGCAGATCCAAAAAATTTTTTAAAACTCCAAATATTTCAAAAACGGTTAAATTTAGGTATAGGGAAAGCTGATGAAAACTCCCTTAAAATAACCCGATTAATCCAAAAACGCAGTAGTAAAAAATATACCTTTCCGGTATAACCGAAAGTGCCGCCATCTTGAAAATATTTTCATTTAGGACTTAATGGATTATGGCTATGTACCAATTTTCAAATAAATACGATTATTCGAACTCTCAATACTTCTAATGTGGGGTTTAGACGGAACAGCTTGTATTTCAATAATGGTTATGCATTTTTTATTCGAAATTAATTAATATCAATTAAAAAATAAGTAATGTTAAAATGTAAAAAAAAAAACAGAAAATGTGAGTCGGGACTACTGCAACCGAAAATTGAGTAGATTTGCTCGGTTTTCTTAATTAGTGTTTTAAAAAGTACATACAGAATGACCCAGGGGTTCGTGCACGATCTATAACTTTTTTTCTATACAAGTTATCCACATGATTTTTTTTTAAACGATAGATCCAACAATGAGGCACATTATAAAAATATTTCTATTCATATACAGGGTGTCCCAAATAAGATACACAACTAAGTTCCGTTTTTTTAAACGAAAACCACAATTTTTTATTACATATCTGGATTCGCCACTAAATTGTCAATATAACGCACCTTGGTTCCTTAGACTTACCTGCAATAGTTTTTGACTTATGCCAATTTATGTGTCAAAATTGCATCGTGCATAGGACCCACAAAAAAATTCATAACTTCAAAACTATTTAATACAACTTAACCAATTTTTTTCCAGACGATTCCTTAAGCTTTAGCACATCTTTTGAGAAAAAGGCAAACTCCGAGTCGATGTTCCATCGCCTACTACGATTTTTTGAAAATGACGAAATACAAATGGCAATAACTCGATTTTTTTTAAATACAACACTCTATGTTTTATTGCATCATTACATGGCATTTTTTATGAGCTTTTTGTCGATGTAGGGTTCATGGGGTTTACTTTGTAAAATTTGTACGATTTTTGCAAAATAAGAAATGTTGATGGTTTTTTCTAAAAAAAAAAAAGGAATGGAGTGGGCTGCTGTCGTAAAATTTGACACTTTCGTGTACTTTTAATAATTGTACACATCTAATTGTAATAATGAATTTCACTCGTGAAGAATTAGTGAATACGGTTTACTGTAATGGTGAAGATCACAGAAATCCTTTATTAGCAAGCAAAATGTACCGGCAGAAATATCCTATCCTAATCGTTGGATGGGCAGAGGAGGTATTATTCCCTGGCCCTCACGATCTCCATACCTTACTCCTATCAATTTCTTTCTTTGGAGGTACGTGAAAGAAAGAGTTTGCAGAAATCGCCCAACAACTGCAGATGATATGAAAAACAGGATCACGGAAGCCTTCCATTCAGTTGATGGAGCAATGCTTGCTAGAGTTCGGAGTTTATTTACTAACAGACTAGCTAGCAGCTTGTGTGGAATATGATGGTGACCTATTTGAGCAGTTTTTATAAGTAACCTTTTCTCAAAATTTTTACATTGTTGTCTGTTAATCATTCTTTCCTATTCTTGTAAAGATTGCTAAAATTGTTTCTTTTATTGTGATGTACTCCTGTTTCTATTACAATTTCATTTTATTGAAACACATTTTTTTCAGAATTGCATAGATGTGTCAAACGATAACGGCCTACTCGATTTATTTTTTTCAGAAAAAAACCATCAACATTACTTATTTTGCAAAAATCTCATAAATTTTACAAATTAGACCCCATAAATCCTATATCGACAAAGAGTTCATAAAAAATGCCATACAATGATGCAATAAAATATAGAGTGTTGTATTTGAAAAAGTCGAGTTATTGCCATTTGTATTTTGTCATTTTCAAAAAATCGTAGTACGCGACTCCGAGTTTGCCTTTATCTCAGAAGATGTGCTAAAGCTTAAGGAATCGTCTGGAAAAAAATTGGTTAAGTTGTATTAAATAGTTTTGAAATTATGAATTTTTTTGTGGGTCCTATGCACGATGCAATTTTGACACATAAATTGGCATAAGTCAAAAACTATTGCAGGTAAGTCTAAAAAACCAAGGTGCGTTATATTGACAATTTAGTGGCAAATCCAGATGTGTAATAAAAAATCGGGGTTTTCATTTAAAAAAACAGAACTTAGTTGTGTATCTTATTTGGGACACCCTGTATATTGTAAGTAACTGTTTCAAACTTTATAATATACTGAAGTTATAGTAAAAAACCGAATATTCACACCCAAATTCTAAGATGTGTAATAGTATATTACATAACCAGCACGGAAAATGACTAATCCTTGGTGCGAAGCTTTTTTGAGCGTAGGTATTGAGATACGCGGTCTTGTAACTTCTGGAGAATCGAATTTTCTACAGTATGAACCATCTCATTCAAAATTGTAAAACTTGAGATACAGGTTTTGGCTTCGCACCTACGAAATAACGCACAAGTGAGAAAGGATGATGCACGAGGCGTCAGTCAAGTGCAGAAGCGCCACGAGTGCACTTTCCAGCAAGTTATGTACACAATTTTTCCCACGGCCCCGCAACCCCATGACAAAAAAGACACTATGTCCACTACAGTGGACGAAATAGAAAACACTAATGACTCTGTGTCAATTAATAATTACTGACACTTGACAAATGTTGACAATTTAATAGTTTGACATACAGAGTGTTGGTCCAAGTCGCCCTGACTGATAACACCTAAACTTACTTCTTTTTTTCAAAAAGTAAATATTTAAGTAATAATATTCATTCTTGGCTTTCTTAATAAATGTATCAAATTTTTTTAGCACATCCTGTTTTGCCGGAAATGCTACCAAACTTAGTTTTTCAAATGGAACACCTATGTTTTTTTCCTCCAAACAATAATAATTGACATGAAAAATACTGTAACTGTACTGTACTGTAACCATTTATTACATTTATTACATTTTGCGTAACAGAATGCAATCAAAAAACATCTTAAATCTTAGAATTTTATAAGGAAATTGGTCGCGTAGCCTGATTTTTAATTTTAAAGGAAAGGTGTGAATAAAAAAATGCTTTGATACAGTTTAATTGTTGGTTTGACAAATCTAATTTGTCAGTTGATGAGCGAGTTCTCTTATGGAAACTCTTGGATTTTGTTCGACTGATAACAGAACATTCACATTTCTATTTTCTTGTTCTTCACAGAGAACCACAGGTTTTTTATTTTTAAGAAGCGAACCTATTCGTCTCAGTTGTTTTTCGATTCGACTAAATTTCCAACGATCTGGGTGAACTGAGTATATTCTATGGGTGAATTCTATTTGAGTATTTTTCTCTATACTGTCTTTCAACTTCCGTTCTATTTTTATTGCACTTAAAAAACACTTCAAGCTGATCTACCAATTCATCGTAATTAATATCATCCATTATTAAAGATCTCAATAAGATTTATTGACAAATTAGGCTTTATCAAACTAACAATTAAACGGTATCCAAGCATATTGCTTTTTGCATGAATACCTTGACAAGGAAAATCCGCCTACGTTGCAAAATTTGCAATAAAACTCAAAAATTTAAATTGTTTTCTGAGTGCATTATGTAAAGTAAAGTGTAATAAATAGTGGTTTACCGTATTTTTCATGCCAAGTACTTGTTGATATGTCAATTTGACAGTGTCATCAATTCCATAAGGCACGTTTTTGTGTTCAAATGTACGACTTATCAATAAAGTTATTGTGTTTGTGCATCAACATACTAAATGAATTGTTCTCGGTGTCGCGCGACAGAGTTTTAAATTTGCACCGGATTATGTTCGCCATAGTAGGGGTCTTCTCCACCTTCCTTTTTGATCACTCTCGGAACCAATTGCCCATATATAATCAATTCATTCATTCGGAATACTTTAATTACTTCAATAAGAAAATTTTCCTCTATACTAGAAGTTATTATCAGAAATGTGGCGGAAGAAATATTAGAAAAGAAATTTTTAAGTTGTATAATAATAGATAAAACTATTTTTTCAATATTATATGTATTTATATGTTTTGAAATGTATGTACAGGTGCGCCAGAACTCGCGCCCCAGAGAAAATTTTCACGTTAGCTCTTCAAAATCTATTACATTGTTTACAAATAAAAGAGTTAAATTTAACAAAAACATCAGGTACAGAAAAAAGTGTTCATAAAACGGTAAAAATTTTGCAAGATACCACCTAATTTTATTACCTCGAATTTTACCGACTATTAGAACTGTAAACTTGTAAACTTT